GGGAGCGTATCCTCCCCCTCCCTTCCACGAAAAGTTCTGCTAGCTTCATCCATGTGAAAGTCAAGAGCAAGCGAGTTAAAGTAAAGAATCTTCGCCAAGACATTCCCTTGTAGTAAGAACTTTAAAAAATCTCCTAAAAATTGTAAATTTTAATCACTAAACTCACTATAAAACTGTTAAAATTTACGGAGAAGGAAACCCTTTTTGCGTATGGATTTACGAGAGGTTAAATTTAATTAAAGTAATCGTGATTAAAACTCTGGACTTTTTTAACTTTAATACTGTGCATTTGAGAAGAATGTATTATGGAACTCGCCCCTTGGGTTCGAATCTGCCGCGAAATTACAATCTAAACATGCGACGTGCGCGCGCAGCAGAGCCTCACTTTTGGGCGCCTCATCCCTCCCGTGTGTGGCACCCCACAAAATTGTACGCAATAGTGCATGCAGAATATTCAAAAGAGGGTTCAGCAAAATAAAGAAAAATGTTCGGCTTGTTGAGAGTTGTACTCAGAACCCAACCCTTATGAAATCATAATAGATTCATTTGGAATATTTCATCATTTGCACTGGTGCCAATTATGATGCTAAGTTCAAAGAAAAGGCTTTAATTTTAAAACAGACGGGGAATAAAAAACTAATTTCTGGAATCTCAAACAAAAAATTTGACATTTCATACATCCGTTTGAACAAACTTCCATCAAAATACTTTGATAAACTCAAAGTTAACTTGCGGACAAACTATTTTAGCAACAAAGAACTTGGACATGATAGGATTTTCCCTTCCTATGCTTGCTCTGGTGAGGCATTGGTTCAACAACAGTTGTTATTGCTTCTGACAATCAGATATAATATGAGAGATCAGTTCTTAAGTATTCATGAGATGAGAGACTGAAAGAAAATATTTGTCTCTCCTTGAAACAGACATTCAGAATTAAGTCCCAAATGAAATCACAATAAGTTCATTGAGAGAGTTTCATCATTAACTGATACAAAAAAACAAATCAGAGCACCAAGTTGTTCTACTTCCGAGTAAATTATAAAAAGGGGGAGGGGGGGCAAAGGAGACAAAAAGCACTTAATTCTCTTCATAATATAAGCTTAGCACAAAAAACGCCTTCTGCGTCATGAAAGAACACACAGCATGGAAATGAAAGTGCCTGAAACTTGTCATGTAATCTCAGAATTAAGTCCCAAAAAAGTAATCATGGCTAATTCATAAGTATGTTTCATCATCATTACAAATGACAAGTTTAAAATTACCTACATAATACAAAATGAAATTGGAGGACTGCAGAATGTCAGCTTTCTGCTCAACTGCTCAGTTTTCTGCATGAAATAGGCTCTAAATTCTTCAAATAGAAAAATAGTTGAAAATTTTTTGCTAATTAGCATTCACTTGCTTCCTTGTAACACATATGTTAGGAAGGAAAACAAAGATGAGCAAGAAATGTGCTTCGAGATCAAGACAAAAGGTTTTTTAGTCTCAATTTAAAATGAAGAGAAAGACACCAATGGAGAGACGGATTGGTGAGGAAGGAGGTCATAGAAAATATATCATTTAACCAAGATTCAGTCTTGCATCCGCACAGGGACTCAAACATAGTAGATAGGGTGCGGTAACTACTAGCATACATTTTGTCCAAATTTTATGTAGGGGTCTGGGTGGCTGTTGGCAAAAAGACTTCAGTGAAGCTAATAAATTATTGCCCATGGACTATCTCAGAAAAACAAATGGGCTGATAACTATGGGGACACTTCAGGCCCTCTCCTTGTCCGTAAAAATAAGTTTTCTCACAAATCATCCTACCAATTTTCAAAAAATTACAATTTAGAAGCTGACAGTATGCCCGAAACGGACCTTTTCATAGATTTAATTAATTTCCGTCTGCTTGGAGGATATAAAATAGGGGAGCTTACTGTATGAATGACTCTCATGTTACAGAGTTTTTAATTTATGCCCACTTTGAATATGACAATTTTTGGATTAATTATCTCTGCTTAGGAGGGAGTGATATGTGCTCAGAATTAAGTCCCAAATGAAATCATGATAAATTCATTCAGAATTTTTCATCATTGGCATGAATAGAGGTATCAATAATGTACAAAATACAGAAGCCAACTGTAAGAATGACCCCAAAGTGATGTATCAGAGTTTGTTATCTATACCCACTTTAAAAATGACGATTTTTGGGTGCTCAAATGCTTCATATGTGCTCAGAATTAAGTCCCAAATGAAATCATTGTAAATTCATTCAGAATGCTTCATCATTGGCATGAATAGAGGTATCAAAATGTACTAACTACGAAAGCCGGCTGTGAGAATGACCCCAGTATGACGTATCAGAGTTTATCTATGCCTGCTTAAAAAATGACAATTTTTGGAATAACTAACTGTGCTCAGATGCTTCACATGTGCTCAGAATTAAGTCCCAAATGAAATCATGATAAATTCATTCAGAATGTTTCATCATTGGCACAAATAGCGGTGTAAACTGATAAAAAGAAACTTCAGGGGAACAAGGAGAGAGAAGAGTCTCCTTTATGAAAAGGATTCAGCAATGACTGCCAAGATACTTCATCACTTACAAAGATACTTCAAATAAGTCATTTACCTTAATTTCAGGATCTTCAATTACAGTTTCACATTCATAAATACTTTCCTCAAAAGGCAACCCGGTGATTTTTATCGTGCGATTTGGCATAACAAGGGCAGTGAACTTAAACTGAGCCACGAACTCACCTGAGAAATAGAAACAAACAATAACATTAGGCTCTGAGTAAAACACAAAATGTTGAATTCCAAGTTCCCAGTATAAAATATTAAGATTGTACCTTAAATGTCCAGCTCATAAGTCTATGTTCTCAACTAATACGCATCCGCCTAAAATCCAAGATTTATCAATTATTTTTTCTTCATCACACAAAAAGAGAGAACTTCAGAAAAGTTCACTTTGCTCCCTCCATGCCCTCTTATTTCAACTGGAAAAATATTGTCAAAGTTCTCCCTTTTCTTGAGTCACTTAAAGATCACTGGTATTATAGGGTGTCGACTAGAATTTTGTTTTGGATTATCCTAATTTTCTCTTAAAATTTTAAACAAAATTGCTTATTTTTTCGTGAATAAATTGTTACTCATTTGATTTTAAGAGCCAACATATTCGATGAATTAAATTGAATGTTTCCATCTTGCATGTGCTAAAGTGCATGTGGTTGAAAAATGCTTGGCGCACTAGGTATGTCCTTACAAATAATCAATTTTCTGATGACATCAAATTTCCTGATACTTTCCAGTTCGTCCAGTAAGGGTAGACATTTTGTAATAGCTCGCAATTCAGAGCAAAGGGCTGGCATCAGTAGGCATTCAGATGATCGAGATTCTAACCAACCAACAGCAGTGCTGCGAAGCATTTAATTGGCTTAAGTCGGGTAAACTTTTGACACATAGTTTTCATCGGAGGTGAAATACTGCCTGGACTGCAAAAAATCCCCTCAATCAAAATCCAGTAATGTGCGAGAATTTAATATCGTCCTTGTGGGGAAATGCCAGGGACTTGGAAAAAAATGTGGTGAATCCAGCTTTTTTGGTGCTCAGCAGCAAGACCAGAGACAACCATTTCGATATTGTGCCAGCCATTTGAATTAAGGAAATTTTGACATTGGAGGATACAGAGAAAATTCGCTATGGGTGCATAAAACTTACTTGGCTTTTCATAGAGGACTTGGAAAGGCTCAACTAATTTATGATTCACGCATTCATTTACTCCCATTTTCGCTCTTTTCTCATCTTCAAAGTAGCGAAGGTTGAACGGCATATTGGCGTATTTGTTGGTCACCTCTGATAAAAATTTTTTGGACGTTTGCAATTTCAACATGTACGTTTCTTCTGTCCGCTTGTAGATTGATACTCTTGTATCTTGTTCTCTTCCCTGAAAAATTAACCGTTATTAACTACAAGAAGCACTCGAATCTAAAGCAAACAATTAGAATATCACAGTATACTATTTGGATGGGTTAAACTCCACAAAGTTCTTCTTTCAGAGATTAGGATATGGACCACTAAACAAGGTGAGAATTAAAGTATAATGATGTATGTTTCCTGATCGAAATTTCACATATGATACGATCTCTACAGCAAAAATTATTGAAAGTAACGGTGAGGAAAGGTCCTTTTGAGATGGGAGGCTAGAAATGTTTTATACCCCAGAACAATTAATGCTCTATACAACAACCTGATTATGCTGAAGTTCACAGGTGAAAATCTGCAAAATGGAACTTGGAAGATCTGAACAGAACACTTAATTTGAAGGCAGAATGATAGAGGGTGTGATACCACCTCCTTCGGAAGGAGATATTTTCATCACAACTTATTATTTTTATTCAATTTTTTATTCTTTCTTATGTTTGATTAAGTAAGTTGGGGATACTCTTTGTCTATGCAAATATGTGACTTGAAGATACCATGATGTTTTTAACTAGAATTGAGCTGATTGGAGGAAACAATACTACTTTAATGAAAGTATAATACAGTAAGACCTCGCTTTATCGGATTTCACGGGACTGACAAATCAGTCCACTGAAAAGCGGAATTCGTTAATACAAAGTAGCTTAACGCCCTGGAAGGGACAGGAAGATTGATTCATTGAAGCGCAATCTGGTAAATTGAGGTCTAGCTGTTGGTTATTACGTATCATTATGGTAAAATGATGGTTATCAACAGATTACCCACATTGGGGAAAATGTCATTGTGAAAAAACTACCTATGTATACAATAAATAAAAAACACAGCACTTTTGCAAATAGTTTTTGGTCAAAAATTTAAGGAACATCAATCAAGAATTGATTAAATTCCAACTTACAAAAAAAAAGGCCTCCCAGAAAGCATCAATTGAAAATTTGAACTGGGTGATTTTGGGTTAGAACTATTCAAAACCTATTGGATTTTATATCCTCAATCAAGATGAAACTCATTCTGGAACAAAAGATATCCTGAACTTCTGACAAGATATAGACCCATGCCATATGGCGGTTAACTTGATCTTTCCTCAGCTAAGCATGTCTCATGGAAAAGAGAATGGGAGACCTTTACTTGGGTAATTTAAAGGTGAAAATTTTGAAGAAGGTAATAGAAAATCATCATTTTTTCCTGAGTAGTCCTATTAATTAGAATTACGGCACCATTATTTTAAGAGGAGAACTTACCACACCCTCTCCGGAACTGATTAACACATCCATGGCATAGACTTCATATGGTTCAAACGTGAATTTCTCATGGTCTTTCTTCTGCATATGATTTGGATTTTGGATGATTGTTTTCTCACCATCGATACGGTTCTGCTTCAACTGATGACTAAGCATTCCTTCAATGGGTTTGCATCCGTAAATTGAACTAACTTTTTGTATTGCGTCAGTGATTTTATACGTCTAAAATACAAAGAATAAAAATACATTTTCGGATAAAAAAATGTAAATATATTATTAGACGAATCACACAATGAAATATGGCTACTTTTCATTAAATCACTCTTTTACTTTCAACTGGTTGGTGCGGAGATGAGCCTAGCCATTTAGTTTTAATCCACATTGGCTTTGTTTTTTGCAGGAGAGTTGGTACAAAATTACATTTTGTAAGTTATTTTTATGGTGGCACGTATTGTCACTATATTCAATGATTAATAAGACAAAACACAACTTAACTCACGAAGCCATGAGCCATAAGGGTAGAATTTTTTTTTACTGAATGATTTTCCTTTAGCGAACGCTTCAGATGACGTACCAAAATACAGAAAAACCAAAGGCTCACAGGATAGTTAGTGCCTTGCTTTGACAAATTTTGAAATCAGTGATTGTCTTAATGAAAAATAAGGTGGCAAATAAATCAACTGATTGCTAATTTTACATTGAATTCAAAGCATGTTATATACTTGATCATGCAAAGTATTGTGAAACCAAGTAAGGCGGTGTCAAATTAAAACACTTTAACTCACGAATTGAAATTGGGAAACAGGTGGAATACACACCTGCACTTATTGACATTATTTCTTTGCACATAGGGCAGACTCAAGGATATTACTCAGGGCTACAGCCAAAGTGTGGCGTAGATTAGAGAAGATAACTCTTTCAGGATTTGATGTGCTGAATCTGAAAATACTATTTGTTTTGTCTCATCAAGTAACTTGGAATTTCTGAAAAATCATTTTTCAGGATTTTCTATTTCCAGCATGCCCATGAGCTATTCCTGTTGGGAAAGTCTCCACTGTCAACCAACCAGATAAGCCAACTTAGCCACTGTAGATTGTAACGGTTTATTGGTGTTTTGCGTCTAAGGAGGGTAAATTCTTTTTGGCTGATTGTTTATTGGGGCACAAGTACACTTCCTCCAACTTTTGACTGCTGGAGCTGTAAATAACGGTAGAGTTTTTCAAACACCAACCAACTTCTGGTAAAATTGAATCTTCCAAAAAAAAGGTTGGTGATGAAACAAAACTGAGGTAATTTTCGGTCTCAGCACTCAATAGAACTTGATGATGGCTCCATCACGCATTAGAAAGAAAATCTTCATGCTCCTTCTTTGATGCAAAACAAGAGAGTAAGATTTATGTTGGTTGAATGGGTGGAGTTGGTCGTCTGACGGAGGAAACTTGTTAACTTACCAGGAACAGTGGGAAAAGTTCTTACGCATCCTGAAAAAGTGTTTGTACATGTTTTTGGCTATTGAACATGAAAATGACATCCATCAGTTTTTACCGAGTATGAGTCTTCCGATTGAGATTGTCAACTCCCTGATGACCTGTGGGAAGACCGAGCTTTGTGGCGATTGAGCGTCGTAAAGCGCCAAAGAGCGCTGTAAAAGCGACTCATATATATAAATGAGTCTTCTGAAAAATTGCATTTTTTCTAGGAGGAGAAATGCAATTCCAGGTTTTCTGGGAAAGTTTTGATTTTTCAGAAAATCTTTGCATGATTGAAAATCAATTGAGATTTTCAGATTCAGCAATCAAAATTTACTGCAAATCATGATCCTTGATCCTTACAAAAATCTTGTGTACACTTGTTTTGATTAGAGATCATTGCACACACCCAATTCATAATAACTTATGAGCCATGCAAGCATGAAAATCCTTACCTCATTGTCGGGCCGTAAAAGCCTGAGAGCCACCTCTGATGCATAGTGAGCAGCAAGGATGGCTTTTGCTTTTTTACCAGTGATCTTTTTCTCATTGCTAGCTCCAACAACTATGGTATGGGCTACAACTGCGATAAAACCATCTAAATGAGCTCCCAAATCTCTGTTGACAATAAGAAGCATAAACTGAGTAAGGATATTCAAAAAAAGGAAGCCAATTATTGGCTTGTAAATGTTCAACTAAGTGGTGACTATTATCGAGAAAGGGATTTGAACTAGTAAACTTGCAATGAATGTTTTCAATAAGGGAAGGGGNGGGGGGGGGGGGGTACAGAACTGAAACAACTCTTGGGATTTCGGGAAAGTTAGAGAGGACAGATGGACACATCTCCCCCTATTTGCAAAGGCCAAGGGCAGTGCGCTCAAAACTGCAAGAACGGCAAACTCCTCATTATCAGAATATACTGTGATCAGAACTGATTTGATAAGTAGGCGCAGGCGAATCTCAGAACTGACAAACTAACTTGAGTGAAACATTTGATACTTCGAAGGTCAATTTCTAGTATTTACAGCCTACTTTAGCCTTATTTGAGTACTAATAGAATACTTTCCCGGTATAGTTGCCTTATTTAAGTAATTGCTGCCTACCTTGACCGTTGTAACTGAGGTATGAGCCTGAATTCATTGATTATTATTTGGTGTTGGTATTCTATCCATTATCCGAACTTTTGGATCATCCAGATTGCCCCCATCCCATTAGTTAGAAGAGTCCTGACTCAACCGTATTGCATGAGCGTGATCCTAATAATATTGTTTCGTGATCAAAAAGAAAAAACTTACACTTTCACAACATCTTCATCTTTTAAAACATAATCCGGTTCGCTTGCGAGTGGAGAGAAATGACAAATACAGTTGTTCACAGATATACAGGTTGGAAAAGCAACACCTGAGGGAAAAAGAAGAAAAAAATGATGGAAAAGAGGAGCAGATCTTCAAACTTATCAAAGGGTAAAACTATTGAGTCTCTAATATTGCAGGGCAGAATATATGGACATAGAAGTACTATAGTCTGTGCAAACCAATTAGACAGAGTAAAAATTCGGGCATTTTCGGGCGAGCCGAGAATTGCAACGTCGGATCCTGGCGAGGAGCCGCTGGGTCAGCACTGAGCTCACCGGGGTATTGTTTCCAGTGTCCACGGTGGGCCTTTACCTGGCGGTCGGACTCTTGTCATTAAGGCCCTCTGGCTACTGGTGGACCAAAAATTGCACGCAATTTTTTTTATAATGTGTGAATTTTTCCTTCATTTCTATGGATTCGAATTCATCTTGCAATCCTGATGAAAAATATTCATAATTATGGGTCAATATAAGGATAAATTATTGTATTACAGGACTCGCGAATTCCTTCAGCGCTTTCCAAAAACTCCAAAAAAGTTCTGTAATACAATAACTTACCATTATACAATTGTACATATTTTTCATCAGGATTGCAAGCTGAATCCGAATCCGTTGAAATGAAGGAAAAATTCACAGATGATAAAAAAAATGGTGTTCAATTTTTTGTCCACCAGTAGCCAGAGGGCCTTGATGACAAGGGTCCGGCTGCCAGGTAAAGGCCTGGCGTGGACACTGGGAAAAATACCCAGGTGAGCTCAGCGCTGACCCAGCGGCTCCTCGCCAGGATCTGACGGTGCAATTCTCGGCTCGCCCAAAAATGCCCAAATTTTTACTCTGTCTAATTGGTTTGCACAGACTGTAAGTGAGGGGCTTGGAAGACAAGGCGCATAAGTGCAGTTTTTATTCTTTCGAAGAAAGCAAAAAAAGAGTTTAAAGCTCTGCATTTAACTCAGACCTATAGAGTGGTCCGAATACCTTCAAAAGTTACAAGTGTTCGTCTCACACCTTCATGAACATCTTCTAAAATTCTCAGCTCAATGGAGCCAAATTGAGGCCAGCAATTGGCCTTAAAGTGACATTAGGTCGCACTTATCTTGCGCCCCGCCCCTTCTGAACAAAATAAGCACCTATCTCGTACACTGTTTTCCCTGTGCCAAATGACTTCCACACAAAATCGCTAGCTATTCCGATAGACCTTACTTTCAACTACCAAAAAATATGCAAAATCAATTTTGATCAGAGACATGCTTCTGAGCACACGATTTCATTTTTATTTCCATCCTTCCTTTTTCAACACAAAACTACACAAAATGGTCCTGATTTGTTTCCTCTTCGCCTTTCCATCCAGTTTTTACCTAATGTGCTTTTAGTGAGGTCTAGTCATTTACATGTATCTTAACTGTTAAAATACAAGCATAACAAGCTATATGGCAAGCAGCTGTGGCAGCTGGGCTCTAATCTCTGGTCTCAAGTTTCTAAAACGGCACTTCTGCGCCTTGTATTCCAAACCTCTCAAGAGGTTCTTTGAACTCTAAAAAGTTAACCAGGTTGCTTTTAGCAGCGCCTCTTAAGGTTCCTCAGCCGATTACTTGGCGACTAGAAATGAGTATGCAAATAAAACATTCAGTGTAATGTAAGAGGGTTCAGCTCGACTAAATGAATGATTCGCTGTAAAAACAGTGAAGGGTAACCAACATAACCAAGCTGTTTGGCACAGGCAGATGGAAACCTTACCCAATGAGAAAGTTTGGATCCAACAAAGTCACTAGATTGAGCCGCTTTGAGAGCAGTTAACAGAGAATGTAAACAATGACTTGGTGCCCATCGGAATTCAATGGTATTTTGGGCTTTGCATAGCAGCTCTGTTAGCAAAAGCTTCATAACAAACTACTGAGCAGTAGTTGACCTGAAAAGCATATCTCTGGATCCTTGAAAGGATTTCCTTCGGAAAATAAGGCAATCTGAATGGTGTGATCGACATCTGCTACTAACCTTTTTTAATCTGCTTATCCCGTTTCATACATGGCGCTAACTCTTCCTTGATCTTCTGATCTCCAAACTCACAGACAGCTCTTACAGACGCTCCAACTTCACATTTTTTGACAACAGCTTCAAGTACTTCTGTAATGGGAAAGTAAAACGAGAGATGAAATTAGCTTAGCGCAGTAAAAGATACACTTTGGACTAAAATAGCCATCTGTATAGGTCATTTAGATTTGATACAGGCAATCTGAGTCACTACGAGACTTTAATAATTAGGAGAGATTGCTACTTAGACCATTGAGCAGCATGTGCTGACCCATGTTGGGATGGCCAGAAAATTACCTGGGGCAGTACACAAAAGGGTTCAAAATTTCATTAAGGTAAGTGACTGTTACTAGATGGAGCTCCATGAAAAAAAAATAATAGGCCAGCTGAAGAATGTCGAATATTTCAAGATTTTCTAGTAAGGAGGCCACATGGCCATGCCTTCGGCGGCAAAACCGAGATGTAACAGAAGGTTCATGTGAAAGATGGTCGACTTGGCGGAATTATGGAGGCCGAAGTTAATAGAGGCAAGACAGACTATTGAGTGACTTACTATTCACAACTGTGCCGACAGTTCTGTATTTTGTAACAACGGTTTCGTCTTGAGTAGTTGGTTCTTCATCGCTATCCGCCATGATTGTAATAACTAACTTGCCTTTGAAAAATTATTAGTCAAAGTTCCAAAGTGCAACAACAGAACAACAACGTTGGCCGGCTCAACCACAGAGTAAACTTAGGGTAAGAGAGCAACCTCCAACAGTTCAAACACTTCAGTTTCAAGTTCGATGAAGTTCGACACGAACTCGAACGTTTCACTAAGGTAAATGACTCGAATCAAAAGTGATTTTATTATCATAGTAACATTCAAGATTCGTTAATTTCCCTATAAATACTGAGAAGAAGATATCTTAAACCAGTCAATTATTCTTCTCTCTCTATCCGTGCTCTATCCTGAAAACACGCAACCCGCAATGTCATAGTTTGCAAAAGAAGCAGAATGACCCCTTGCTCTATCAAATGTCCCCTCTCCATTATCTCATTCTCAATCCTCCATGTTATCAGCTGCTGGGACTCTGTGCCCTTGCGGCTCTTCACAGAAATAATTCAATTTTTCATACTTACTGCCCAGTGTTTTTAGAAGTTTTCGTAAGTTACGATGGTTTTCGACAACCCGGATGATCTTGATTACTCACCACTTCTTACCGGCTGTAAAAATTTTTTTGTGAAGCCTGTTGTTTGGTGGCGCAGTAAGTAGATACATGCTCAATTTTGTATCTAGGACTTTTTTTATTATTCCTTAGTCTCAGACTGTGTCTTATCATCATCCTCCTACAACTCTAAAATTAGGATGAAGAGGAGAGGGAGCCTCCTAGCTTATACACTGTTACTACCCTGTTGTAGAGCCCTCAGAGCCACCCCAGAATTTAACGAAATGAAAGTGCAATGAGTGAAGCATCGTCAGTGTGTTACAGATTCGGAAGACCACCCAGACCAAGAGTATGGTGGCTTGCGTTTACAGTGAATGCAAATTAACTCCTATCATATGACATGGGACCAGGTTTGCTGCTTTTAGCATGCAACATCCAAAGAATATCAAGTCATCAGACTGGGAGAAGAAAACAAGTCAGTATGAAACATAAGTTTGAACTCGTGTCAAGTTGGCATTCTGCAAACAGTTATACTGCCGACATCCTATTGAGATTGGGGATCGATTGTGGAGATGCGGTTTTATGATGCAGAATGATAGTACAACAGTTGTCTGCACTCTAGATGATAGCAAATGACTGCAAACTTATTTGATCTGAGTTCACACTAGGTACGCTGTCAAAAAAAGTTTGCTTTTGTTTTTACTGTCTGCCAGAGTACCTATGACGATACTGCTGTTGTTTGCTTCCATAACTCATGTATGTAAAGAAATCCAACTTACTCTGTATCACAAGATTTACTGATGTACCTACATTTTCACTCTCACGAATAAATTCGTCCCTTGGAAGCACTGATCATAGGTACTCATTGGGCCATACGAAATGACAATCATGATAATAGATGGTGAGAGCTGATATTTGTAATCCCCATGTGCCTTCAGCGGCAGATACACCTACCAGTCACAAGGGCTTGTCAAAAGTGAAACCCCAATCGAAAACCAGAATTTTGACTGTTTAACGTTGAGCTGTCAAAATCCTCCTTGCCTATCGTTGTTTCGCTTTCAACCAGCGCTCACAACTCGCAATGTATCTGGGCCTTTAGAGTTGAGAATACCTAATTTGCATCAGATAAAGTTGAAGTTTCTTTGTGGATGGAGGTCGATCTTTCTGAACAGTGAACCTCCAAAGCAATGGGTACACACGGTCAGCACTCACATAAACTCTGACCTCACTCACTTTTTATTCCTTGAAAGACAATTTCTTTGGAGCTGTACCCTCCACCCTCAGCCTTATCATGACTTACCGCTCCTTATTTTTGTTTGCTAACTTTTACCAATTCAGTGTTTCAATTGCTTTTTTTCTTTTTTCAGAGAATATTGTAGAGCCAAATCAAAAAACCTATTACTGGTATCATCGAAAGTTTCAGAGAGTACCAACTGTAGACAATTGTTATGATGATGATGCAGTATGCAAATATGAAGCAACCAGACAGATGAAACGAGATCGGTATGATAGTTTTTTTTCATTAATTTTATTTTATTCGGAACCTGCTTTTTATTTATTATTATTATTTTTTTTTAAATATATATACAGGGTGTTCCAAAGTCCCCCTCCCCCCTCTAACTATTGAACAGTTAGAGATAGGAAAACGGAACTGTGGGAATGTTTCTGTCTCCAAGAGAACCATCTTTTAGGGGGGTCAAAATTCTTGCCCCTCCCTCAAGAGGAGCGTGGGGGCCCCCAACTTTTTTTTTCAAATAGTAACCCCTATCTTGTGATACATCATCGGAAAGAACATAAAAACTAAGCATTTTGGCATCAACTGCAGATCAATATCTTAATTTTTGAACGAGTTATAATAGGTCAAGTTTGACCTATTTTCAAAAAATCTTAACTCCAGTTCAAATCATTGTACTTAAAGAAAATAACAAGACAGGAAAATTGACCAAATTGTAAGCACTTTTAATAAAAATCGCAGAAATTACTTCAAACTGATTTTAAGGGGGGGTTTGGACCCCCAAATATGTCAATTCAAAGGTCATACAATTTTCCCGCGAAATGAGCTAATTTTCCCTGATTTTGCCTCAGCATTACCTCGGTAAGTCCAAGAGTAGTTCAATATTACGTTTTCAAGTCCCCAAATTTCGGGAAAATTTCAATAAAACGAAATTTAAGCATCAAAAATCACCTTAAATTGTCCGTTGTTTTGAAATTTTCCTGAAATTTGGGGACTTGAAAACGTAATATTGAACAAATCTTGGACTTACCGAGGTAATGCTGAGGCAAAGTCAGGGAAAATTAGCTCATTTCGCGGGAAAATCGTATGGCCTTCGAACTGATGTATTTGGGGGTCCAAACCCCCCCTTGAAATTAGTTGGAAGTGATTTCTGCAATTTTTATTTAAAAGTGCTTACAATTTGGTAAATTTTCCCGTCTTGTTTTTTTCTTTACGATGATTTTTGAAAATAGGTCAAATTTGACCTTTGACCTATCATAACTCGGTCAAAAATTAAGATATTGATCTGCAGTTGGCGCCAAAATGCTTAGTTTTCAATGTTCTTTCCGATGATATATCATAAGATAGGGGTTACCATTTGAAATAAAAAGTTGGGGGCCCCTACGCCCACGCTCCTCTTGAGGGAGGGGGAAGAATTTTGAACCCCCTAAAAGATGGTCCTCTTTGAGATAGAAACATTCCCACAGTTCCGTTTTTCTATCTCTAACTGTTCAAAAATTAGGGGGACTTTCGGAACACCCTTTACATAAAATACAGTATTGTAAAAGTTATACAGTTAAAAGGCACAATAATACCCTCAAACTGTGGTTTGATTTTGTTTTCAAAAATAAATTGAGCTTCCCAGAAATCCATCTGTTAGCTTTATCGCAATCCAGCTGACCTTAAGATAAAAAAAAATGTTGGTTCATATTACCACTCATCTCTACTTTCTGAATAATTTTTTGAAATACATTGAATCTGCTGTCAGAATGAATTAACCCATCTAGCTTCATTGCAAAGCGTACAAGAATGTCTGAAATGATAACGCGGTGACTGTCATTATTTTATAGAACTTTTTTATTTTATTTAAACTTATTTTGAAATACACAGAAGGAAGAAGTCCATAGAAAAAATCATATTGATCACATCAAAGAAATTAGTTTTCTCGGGAGTTTTTCATTGTGCCATGGGAAAGACTCGCTGCTGCAAGGAGGCATTTTACACGTCAAGTACAATTTTAACTGTGGCCTAAATTTGCCATGTTGTAATAAAAGTTTTTTAGTTGTCCAGTAATGTAATAATTTGTCTACTTCATGGAACAAGTATTTTCCTATTACAATGGAAAACTGCTTAGGAAACTGTTTTCGCTGTTGTGATGGATCCATTGTTGTGTAGAGGAGCTTGTGTTTACTCCTTTGAAGCAACAGAGAACTTCATAGCTACCGAAAAGATACATACAATTTACTTTTTAAGTATTGATTCTTTTCAAGAAGATCTCGTAGAGATTGCAGGTAATTTGACCTCATCTTGAGGATTTCAATAGGAGATCCTCATGAGGATAATGAAATTTGCAAAGTGAATAGTTTGCTTCTCTGAATAAGTAGATTTGAAAACTGAGCAAATTCCTGTATTGAGCTGACTAAGTAACGGATGACAAATGTTGAAGGCTTCAAAGTTGCATGTGCAGAGATGCGCACCACATCACCAGCCTCAAATCCTGCATGAATGCATGAGAGAGGAAATGCTTCACTTTCTCTCTTGAAAATGAAATGCTTGGGTTATGGCAGAATTTGAGTGTTGCTGGAAAAAAACACAGGCAGAGTTTTTTATTTGTGTTTTATGTTTTCTCTACTCAGAGTCTAAAGTTTTGTCTGTGATTTGCAGGAGAGTTGAGGCACGAATATGCTACATTTTGAAAAATAAGTTTGATGATTGCGTGTTCTATGAAGGCGAAGGTGACGCCCGTAGGCTTTGTGAACCATACTTGAAACATTTTGAGGATGCATCTGAGGCATATTTCATTAAATGTAAGATTTTAAAACTTTCATGAACTTGATAATTACATATTGTTCAAGGGTTCTGATATGACACTAATTAAAGTGCTTGTTTTCTCTCCAATTTGAAGGTACGGCAAATCAGGTACAAAAACCATCACAACCAATGTCCGAAAAATCTTTTAAATGCTTTTGTATACAAATAAAGCAGCATAGAGAGCGCAGTTGGAGAAGAAATCGGTCAGCAGATTCCGCTCCAATCTATCAAGAAGAGATCAGAGTAGGAACTGTTGAAGATTCCTCCAGGTCCATCCAGGTCTCAATGCGTATTTGAAGCGCTGATTGCACAAATCCCTTCAACAAGCATTATTTTGCTCTGGGAAAATAGTGTGTTGTCGTATGGTTTGTTATAAAAAACCGTCTATAACTGGTTTCTGCTGCCATTTTATCAAGAATTGACATATCTACACGAAATTTGTGCTAAAAATTTTATTTTTATACTATCTATCCTATGATGTGTTTTCAGGTAGGGTTTGCCAATTGAAAAAAAAAGTTAGAATCAGTAGCCTTTCTCCAGCAGATGCTTCAAACATTTTTTTTTGGGGGGGGGGGGTTCCATAGAGTAGTTTACTTTGATTCAGGAGTACTGTAAAAATTTTAAGTCCCTCCTCTCAATTTGCTCAAATATTACAGAGGTGTCCTACGACTTTTGAGTCATCCTGTATGCATACGTACAAATATGTCTCTCCTACAGTGCACTCTGGCGCTGTGGGACACCCAAACGCCAAGTATCCTTAAAAACTTTTAAGTCCTAATATTTTTAAGAAACTTTGTAGATCTTGGTCAACCAACCAAATGAAATTAATAATGTCTCACACTAATCCCTTGGAATTATGCTCTTTTTTTTGCGAATTACGAATAACTTTCTCAAGCTCATAGTTCTGTGCTGCATGAGGTTGGACAGCTATTCCTTTAACCAAATCTTACTTAAACAGGAACTTGAATAATGAAGCTTTTTTAATCATCAGTGAAATTTTTATCAATTCCTTTTTGTGAAATCAGTCCTCAAGTCTCAGTTTGAGCATCAGGCTGAAACACTTAGAAATTAATCTGATCGTGATTGCAGATGGTGATCTTGGATGGGATATCAATGCCGAACAAGTCTTCTTCAGACAAAAGCATCGTTTAATCTGGGAACGTCGTCATGGTGAAGTTGGAACAGGTATGAAAGATAAAGATGGTAACAGAATACCATTGGAGAAATTAAAACTGGACGATGGAAAAGTACAATATGGGTCTTTTTAAAAAGCTTAGCTTTTAAAAATTTTCGAGTAGAAGTAATTTTTGTTATTGCCCTGTTTTTGCATCCATTACAATGCCCTTCCCTGGATTACCTCATCCCCTATAATTCCAGAAACATTGGGCCTTCTTGTATGAACTATTACGCTATTATTTTTAGATTGTTAAATAAATAAACAAAGTCCAAGGAATGTTCATGTTTTTCTCTTTAAGAACAATTGTCTCACTGCAATTAATTCTAATTGAATCGGTCATCCTCTGAATGACTTAGGAGCCAAAAAATCGAAAATTGAGGACCTTGCCGGAAGAGGGGCGTATGTACAAGATGCAGCGTTATTAAAAACATGCATTTGTAGGTTCGAAATGGTGTCCCAAAAAATTAAATGGGCCAATTGGTTGAACCAAAGGCAATTCTCTGAAAGTAGACCCCGAATTGTTGAAATCCATTAAAAGTTTAAAAGAAATAAATAATTTTTTCTCTGTAATCACTAGACAAAGAAAGCCAGAGATACGCCCTTCTTTCAAAAGCTTTGGATGTAAGATAACAAAAAAATTTTTTTTATTATTATTATTATTATTATTATTATTATTATTATTATTCAAAAAGAACTGAAAAAGCACAAAATTGGGGAAATCACTTTTGGCAAATACACTTCAGCATTCCAACGAGCCAAAATTATTCCATCACTGGTTGCAGAGAAACCAGTTTTTTTGGGCGCACATAACAATGCCTAACACACTAAATTCTCTATTAAAGAGAAAAAACACTTTAAAAAATGGCCCGAAACTGTATGTAACAAGGTGGAAAAATGGTGCTGGGTCCACACCATTTCGTAGGAAAATCAAAGCAGAGAATTTCCAAAAATTACAATTACATGCAAATAATTGGAATTTTTGGAATTTCTTGGGAATGAGTACTCATGAGAGTTAAAATTATTCGACTCTAATCGTAAGTTTTGGAATTTCTCAGCTTTGATTTCCGTGCAAAATGGTGTGGATCCAATTAATTTCATTTCCTTCTTTTTTATCTCGTGAAAAAATTCATTTAAAGCAAGTCCAAGAAATTTATTTCTGCGGAATCTCTTCAGCTTTCTAACGAGCTAATATTTTACAAAATCGACCAATTATTTAGGGATAAACTGAATTTTTACGGTTGCACAAGAATAAGATGATTGGGGTCCTTTGTCTGTTTGAAAACTGAATCGAAAATATCCAAAATTTAAACAAGAATCTGTTAGAATTGCCTCAAACTGCCCCCAACATCGTAAAAAATGTCAAAATTTTTTGGGGGAGGCTCCCCGAACCCCCCGTCAATTGGGGGTTTTCTTTACCCCTCAGACCCCCTGATGAGGGGGATGAATAACTTTAAATGAGGGGGAACTCGCATGGATTCAGAAGTGTTCTGGGGGATGGGCATCACTGTCACTTAGGGGAGGGGGATGAAATTGCGTGTTGAGACAAGGAATGATTGAAACGGAGGCTGGAGGCGGCAACACGGTGGTGGTGCGGAAACGCGGAGGCGGACGATGCGACGCGGCGGCATTGTTGCCTGAGTGTGCTAAAAATCAGCATATTTTAAATTCAAACCCACTTAAAATATCCACTTATTATCGCACGACATGGCAGCCGTGCGCGGCGGAAGGGTGATAAACGGTCGGGCCAGGGACTGGCGCGGCGCGAAGATGCTTGTTTATGAGGTTTTAATGTGTCCCCTTTAATTTAGCGGAAAAGTTGATGCAGTTAATTGATAAAGTGAAAGTAAACGGAAATGAGTTACGACTGCCAATAATCGGCCGTGAGTAATGGTGTAGCGCTAGCCTCGCCTCCCTCCACCACGTTGTCTGTCCTTGCCATCGTATACTCTCAGAAGGATTCCTTTAAAGAAAAACACCAAAAAAATGAAATCCGTTAATAGTGAAAACATCCTCGGTGTCTAGGTACCACACGGAAAAGTACGGATACACTGGACATTTTTTTTTTTTTTTTTTTTTTTTTTTTTTTTTTGTGTGTGTGTGTCGCAATAGGTGGTTTTAAAATTTCCAAGGAGACATTAAGACCCGTAGAAACATTTTGCCTAACAACAAAACTGCACAAGAAAAATATGGAAGAAATTCGGGAGAGCTTAATGAAACTAGAAAAAATTATTGAATGACACATTTCCTGTGTTGTTTTGTTGAATTTTGAAGGTTTTCTACAGGCGTTTTCTATCGCCGCAGGCAACTCGAAAGCCGCCAGTGAATGAATAGAACAAGATTGGAGCACCGACAATTTTGCTCTTACTGTTTAAAACATCGAAAGAATATTTCTCATCATATCTCGGAAAAATCACGGCAGATTTTGAAGTTTTCAAGTCAGTTTACCCGTATCTATTTGACGATGAAAAACTTGCAACGTCGCGTATTGAAGTATGAACGTAATCTCACCGTCGATGATGAGGAAATGTGAAACCGAACACGCGCTAGAGTGTGATATCAGCGGTAACCGTGATCTTCTCCCATCAAGGCGAAGCGGCACTGTCAAGGGCGCTCTGAGCAACTATTCCACCTCGGAAGTGTTGCACAGGCTCAAACGAAAATGAAGGCGCTCCAACGCACGTACATTGACTGGTATCGTTTACCAATGGGAAACGTCCTCCTGATCCTTTGACTCGGCTTCTGTTCGATTGATTTTTGTGAAACTTGATGTCAGGTGGCATTTTTCAACTGGATACTTAGATTTCAATTCAAATTTTCAAAATTCGAAAATGCATGATGACGGATGTGAGCCAAAACGCTGTTTAGAACTTTCATTCCAACACGAGAAAAATTCTCGAGAAATAAGCTGAAAGAGTGTTTAATTGTTATGGAGTAGGTAAATAAATTTATCATAAATCGAAATTTTGCAGCGTTGCGATGCAAATTAATCTCTTTTAGCTCTGATCTTGTCTAATGGTTTTCGTGACGGACTACCTTCTCTCTATTATTGTGAAATAACAAGACAGAATAGCGTAATTGCAAGCATTCGAATCGGGTGCATGGCCATGCATGGTGAAGATATAATGCAGGACGCAAGAATATGGAGAAGGGGAGAATGAAGGATGCGCCCTGTGGTCGCAAACTGCTGAACCTTCGAGAATCTGAATTAATGTGAATTAGCAAGTAGATGCATCCCATAAATCCGGCCATTTTATGTGATAGCAGTTGCAAATGAATTTCCCTTATTCGTTTCAATACGCCAGCTTTTCTACTTTAACCTCTGCCTAAAATAATCAAACTGATTATGCCGAGTCGATTTATTGCGAGGATTTGGATAAGCTGCGTTTTGCACGGCTTTTATTCGACGTGCTAAGCTAATCAGTGTAAACATAATGACAGTGAGACTTGAAAATTGCCTCTCGTTTCCGGTAATTCAGTATCTCTACTCCCATTTTATTTCCTCCAAAGAAAATGGACTATTACTATGACTGTAAATTTGCACAGAATAATTCTTCACACCGTGAAGTAAATAAGGACAGTTTCCGAGAAATCACTTTCTGCGGGCTGATTGTTGAAATTGATAGACAAAGCTATAGGCAAAGAAGACGTAATGAGTATGGAGCAATCCTATTGGTTAATTTGCGGGTGGTTGTTATAGACTAAGGAGGTAAATGATGGACTAACTAAAGGGTCTCTCGTGAGTTGTCGTTAGTTAGTCTATTACCTACCTCCTTTGCCCATTGCAACCACCGGGCTTCCACCAATCGGATCCCTCTATATCCTTTTTGTTTTCTTTGTTTGTAGCTTTGTATATCCATTTCAACAATCAGACCGCAGTATTTTTCAATTTAACCAATAAACGATGACAAGAAGTCTCCAGCGTCGGAAAGTGGTATTCGCGTCGTTGCAGTGCGTTTCACCGTCAAAACCTTAGTCAATTTATGAAAAGCCAGCGCAGCGCGCCTTCATTATTTTGCGTATGCAACAAGGACATCCATGGAGCAGCAATAGTTGCATCCCGGCGCCTTTATCAACTTCCTCGCGTCTTGTTTCTTGTGTCCGCTCTGCCTGCAGCGATTTTTATTCGCTTTTCTCTGACACTGGGCAACATTTCCCAGCTCAGATATTGATTGTTTTAATAAATCATTTAATTTTTTACTATGATTAAATCCGACCTCCTTTGACGGATTTTTATGTCACCGAATTGCGCGCCTTAAATGCCATACTTTTAAATGAGCCAGGGCTTGCCACTCCCCTTTTCCCACGTACGACCCAGGAAGGCAAGATCAGACGCCCTCATTCTCTAAATGGTCTACGTAAGTAAGGCTTACGTACTCGAAGTTTTTCTACAAAAGATGCAGATCTTCCACACAGGGCCGGATTAAGGGGGTGGCCACAGGGGGCCAGAGGGGGGGGGACGCAGCACATGGCGGCAAAATTTAGGGGGCGGCAAATTTTGCAATCTTTTTGAATGGAGGTATCAAAAAAAGACAGAAAAAAATCGGATTCAGAAAATAAATTACAAACGAGAAAAGGCGACAAAATCTCTAATCTCCTGAGAGTAAAAGTGTTGTAATTTCTAATTTTGTCGTTTTTCGGTGATACAAGAGACAACACCTTTAATTAGTCGAGTTAAGAGAAAAACCAAACACGCAATTTGACCTGGAACGGAGCGGCGCGGCGGTCGGCATGAAACACATAGCGCCTACAAGACTGCATGAATACTTCACGCATTGCGTCAAACACACTGCAGTCAGCAGCAGTCGGCTTGAAACGCATAGCGCCTACAAGACTGCATGAATACCTCACGCATTGCGCCAACACAGTGCGGTCGGCGCGGCAGTGGAAGTTAAAATTTTCAACCACATTTATGTTAGTTCTTTCATAATTTTTTCGTTCTTTTTTTGTAAATGGAAGGCCTTGTCCAAACAGGGATGAGTTTACGGAACTGAACTTTTGTTAGTGTTGCGACAGGGCTTTTACAAAAAATGTGCCCAACACGAGTAAACGCGTCTTATACACCCCTCCCCCACCGGCACGTTCACTTGATGGTTTTTATAGATCGTATTCGACAGATCACACAGGTGAGATTATATTGATATCGATTGGTTCAATATGTAACCAAAGCCCCAAAAGTCAATTTAAAAATCTGGGGTAACGCGTCTTATGTGATCGAATTTTTATTCTCTCGAGTACCAAATGGCAATGAAAAGTGAAATTGCTAGGTATTTTCTCATTTTCAGCTTTTCCAAATTAAATCCTTAAATTTTTGTTCGAGGTTATGTTTTGTTGTTTTTAACCAAACGATACACCGAACCACTGTCGAATACGATCAATTGATGTTTCAAAACAAATGAGAAGGGGACGGAAAAATACAGGCGGCCCATGGGCGGCATGTAGGTAAATCCGGCCCTGCTTCCACTTTGTGAAAAATATTCGTGTTCTTGGGTTACTTTTGGTTAATGTAGGAAGTGAGACATAAACCAAACCAAATTTTGTGTTGATTTTGATGTAGTTTGAGGTGAATTTAGCGCAGAAAACTAAAGAGAGACGGGGAAACTCTAGTGTCAATCGATGAACCGAAAGCTTGGATTCTTTCGTGTTTTACCTCCCATATTAACTCAAAATGTCGGTTACTTTTTCTTACCGTGCACTGAATCTTCCAAGCGACGTCGCGCAAGTTTGATTCATCCACGTTTCCAGGATTATACGTCAAGAATAAGCGGGAAAACCTCGCCTGGGGAGGGCTCAATAAATTCTTTTGAACGTATCTTAATAAGTCAAATTGCGGTCTAACTGAGCAGGCAAAGATTCGAAGACACAACACTGGAAAAAAAAACACATTGGATCTAGAGTCCAGACTTTTAAAACATCGACAAGAAAAAGTACTCTTGATTCAATCAGAATCTAGCTTAAATCAAGAACTAAGCCTCTTAATTTAAGCGGATTTCGTTTTGATTCAAGCAAAAATCCGATTGAATCAAGAGTATTTTTTCTTGTTAATGTTTTCAAGAGTCTGGACTCTAGATCCAATGTGGTTTTTTTCATTGAAGGAGATGTACAACGTCACAAATCGAGACATTTTCGTTTTTCTAGGCCCACCATTGATCAATTCGTGCGAGGATACGACATCCGTAGAAAGTTCATACTTAGCTCTTAAAGTTCGCTAAATCATAAAACTATTAGGTTCTCAGATAGCAGGTACAGTTTATTGATGTTTTAATAAATAAATTAAATATTTACAACGCATAAATAACAGAATAATAATTATAAATAATAAATTAATAGCGTAACATATACAGTGACGTCTTTCTATCAAGGAATTGAGTTTAGAGACGGCCTAAATTCGCTGGTTATTGGGTAGATCGGTCTGATCGTGCAGCTAAACAACTATAACTAAATAATTTAAAAGGTAACATTAAGTGATGGAGATTCTCATCGCAAAGAGATATTAAAGTGTCGGCCAGCTGTAACAGCGGCACAAAAATATAATCAGCTTTTTAAAAGCTTCCTTATATTCGTGGACGGAAAAAATTGCTATAGACGCAAAGGCACTACTAAGCTTCTTGTTTTTTATGCTCAGGTATTCGTTTCTTTCAATTTGCAACTATGAGTTTTTCACTTTTGTTTTTGAATAACAACTTTAAAAGCTTCGTTATTATTTTAAGGTGCTCTTAGTTCGATTTTTTCCCTACTAGGGCGAAATTCGTACCTCTCGATTTTTTTGTCTATTTAAGTAACTGAGCGGGACTTTCTTATCATAATCATATTTTCATTATTCGTATCGGTTTTTCATTCAGAACAATCTGATATATTGTGTCATATCCTTTCGTAGCCAAGATAAGCAATGTATAGAAATTTTAGGAAATGAAGCGAAAAATGTTACTAATTATTTTTCGCTCATATGTGTATCATAGTTCATAATATTTACTTTTCAAGTAAAAAACGGATTTACATCAGGAAGGTCACGGCTAAGTAATCTTATTTCACTGTGCATTTCCAGTGAATAAGTTCTAGATTCCAAAAACACTTTGAAAGAGCCAAGTGATGTTTGATTGCTTTTCAGTCGTGATGTGTGTTTCTAGCAAAATATTTACGCGTGAACTTGGAAACAAATCTGATTGAGGTCATCCATGAAAACACCATTTTCCTCGAATATTTTTGCTATCTTTGAAGTTTTCCCGTAACGTAGGGGGTCTCGTCAGTAATTTTAGGTCATTCCACGATCGTTCTTAAAATTTGGACTTTCGCAGTTAGTTTGGGAGGGGGTACTCCTGGGGGCTCCTGAGTTTGTGCCCGTAGCGGCTGAGAATTTCGAAGCAAGCACCGTTGCTCCACCCAAATCCGGTTTGTGGCACGTACTCACCTCCGCCTCCAATAGAACCCAGTTGGTTCATATCGTACTGCAACAAAAATCAGGGTCCAGTTCGGTGAGGAGGAAATGAAAAATCAGCTCTTTCCCATACCGAGAAGAGGGTGAAATTAGTAGAAGAGCCACAAGTTGTTGACTAATTTTGATATAGCTAACTGTCAAAATGTATTTGAGGCGTTGGGTGCAGAAAGGACTTTTCTTAATTGCGCTGTCACAAAATCTTCACTGTTAATTTATTTTTTAGGCAAAGTGGAGAAATAGTGCGTGTCCACACCATTTCACGGGGAAATCAATGCCAAGAAGTTCCAAAAATTACAATTAGAGTCAAAAATAAATTTTTTTTTTAACTCTAATGAGTACCAGCACAAAACTGTGGGGGGGGGGTGTTCAGCTCAGGCAATTTGCATTGGAATATCAATTGTTGGAGCCACGCCGAGAGACCTATACCGGTTAAGATCTTTTTAGACCTCACCCGCAGATCACACTCGTCAGTTATTTTTGACTCTAATTATAATTTTTGGAACTTCTTGGCTTTGATTTCCTCGCGAAATTGTGTGAACCCAGCACCATTTCTCCACCTTGTTACGTACATGTCGGGTTTTCTTAGTGTTTTTTCTTCTCGTTTATTTTTAGAGAGGGAACTATTCGATGAATTTTCTAGAATACTTCGATTTCAGCATTCAGTAAAAGTTTCAAGTTTCCGCGCTGTGTGACTTTTTGCGCTGGAAAACTTAAAGCGCCTTCATTTAAGTTATGTACGCAACCATGTGTGTTCCTTGAGCAGGAATAGTTGCATCTCGACACTACAGATGGTGTCACATTTTAAAATTGCTCCCTTAGAGCTAGAATCACCATTCAATTCCATTTCAAACAGGAGGCTATGCCCCTTAGCCGCTTCGCCGTCCAACACCCAGAAGCGCTTTAAGCGTTGATCGCTACGCATTACTCTTATGATTTTGCATTATAGAGTATGATTTGAAAAACCGATGTTCTTTCCACCACTCTTGTTTACGTGTCACGCTTCAAATTCCAGTGATTTAGACAGAAATGCTTACCTTTTCAAACATCTGTCCTGTGCGAACGAAACCAACATAGTTAGTCTCCAAGTATTTCGCTCCGAGCCGGTATGCAACCTGTTGCGCCTTAGGGTACAGCGTGTTGTCCAGGCCTTGGATTCCGATCATCTGTAATGGAGGCCACATGTTTGGTGCTTCCCATTGTTGTCCGAAATTCTTAAGCGTTGTCGGGATTCCTGAAATCATAGAAGGGAAATAATTAGTTGTGCCTTCACTATTATTAGTGGTGTTCCATATTAACCCACTAATTGGTCTAAACCATAGCTTTTTCTCAGTGTATAGCCAGAGTGGACAGAAGTTTACAACAGTTAAAGGTCCGGATTTTTACGTTTTTTCTTTCTTAAAAAGTATGCACTCCGGGAATACGAATCAACGTATCGCGTGCGAGTTATCTAAATCTCTCATGTTTTAATAGATCGCATTTAGCAAAAAGGAACCAGCGTGATTACAGTGTTTTAAAAATTATGCTTCTTCATAATTATCTCAAAAATCTCCTAGAATAGCTAATAGTCTTTGCTTCCCACCAAAAAATTGTTAATTGTAAAGGGAAATACTTGTGTAAATTTTAATACTGTATATGTATTGAGTATTTTTAAAATAGGGTGCAAAATTTTAGAGGCACAGTGATAAAAAATATGATACCAATCGTCGCACTTTACGCCCCCTCCTGAATTTTCCAGGTGAAATCTTTCATCGGAGAGGAGGAGGGGGTAGGTTAGATTTTTTTGGCTTCAACAGGAAATTGATGCATAATGCATTTTACTCTGGAAGTTATACTATCCAGAGGATTATTATCTACCCAAAGGCTCAACTATGTTGAAATGACACTCAAAGTCTATCCTTACCGAGATATCTAGGTATACCGTCCTCGGAAATGATTCCCTGTGACACCAGGTACTCAACGGCGAATTTTCCCATTTCTTGCGGTGCTTTCCTGTAACTTCCGGTCCAGAGTGGAGTCAAGTTGGATGCGTAGAAGTCTACTCTGCTCTGTCCGTCCTCGTTGTCCCAATCAAACCACGATTTCAAGTCTTCACGCCACATGACCTTGAACAGATGAAGATGCAATTTGCTGAAATATCACGGGAGGAAACACTCGAAAAACCCCGTGGTGCGGCAGCCCAAGAAGCACAGATTTCAATAAGTAGCAAATACGTTCTAAAAATATTGGGATTCCATTGAGTGTTATGTATGTTGCCTATACCGCCTATTTGAAGGGGTCCCGTCTATTGAAACTTATTGCAGTAAAATTGAAATAAGTTGCAATTTTTCATTGCATTGCACATTGCCTATCACTCTGACGCATGGACCCTTATTTTGTTGATTGTTTAAAATTGGCATAAATCGACTAAATGATATAAAAATATTGCACTTTAATGGTAAAAAAGTAAAATTTTATTGAAATCAAATTGCAATTTGATTTCAGTATTTTCGTTGCACTGTGCTACTTGGGAGAAGAGGATTAGGGTTTATTCTAGTTCCAGTTTCGATACATTGTCTCTCATTTACTGCAAGTGTGTGAAGAAAGACCACGTATTTTACGAAAGTTCTACTCTCAGTCATTTCTGTTGTTTAAATGATAATTTTGGTTAGAAAATCTGTTTCAAAAGAAGTTTTTATCACAAATTAAACATCTTTTGACAGAAGCAAAAATTGAAGCAAATTCTGTTTTGAGAATATTTCAGTGACTGTGGGATATTTTTCGAAGAAGAAGAGAAAAAATCAAGGGTTTGTTCCTTTTTTCGTGAACACTCTTAATCAGCAGACTCTTTTCAAGTCCATTCATACGCTTCATTATTGGTACGGTTAGTGGTTAAAATGTGCAGATTTGACGATTAGCGATTCATATTTGGAAGGCGAACATTTGCACCTCACAAAAGGCTCATCATTCTAGGTGCCAAAATTCGAATTTTTCACTCCAAAATCTCACAGACACAGCTGAGCGCCTCCCTTATAAACTTAAATAGCAACTTGCCGCATGTTTTACTTTCAGATCAAGTATGACCAAAATCGAGCGTAATGTAACATTATTTCTCGAAGCGCTCCAAGTAGGAGTGATTGAAATAATTTGCGACTTAATCGGAGAATGTATCGCGATTATATCGATGTCGATCCATCGCAATATTATCGGATAAAAAATTGCGATTCCATCGCATAAATTTTCAATAAAATCGCCATCTTATCGACGGCGATTCATCGCAAAATGGTCGAACGAAAAATCGTTATAAATTGAGGTAAAATTTAGATTTTATCGAACGGGATTTTATAGAGATGAAATTTCGACAAGATTGACGCTACGATCAGATGTTGATAATCGTTGAAATTTTTTCGACAAAAGATCGCAACCTAATTTCAAAACATCGCGACTTTTCCGTTGAAAAATGCTACTTGGGTCTCCCTATGTTCGACAAGATATCGATGACCTCCCGACAGTCATGATGAGGTGCGAAAGAGTTCGGCCACTTCCGTATTTGGCTTCGAATCGACCTTCAAAGAGTGTCAGGAATCGATTGAAAAGCTGAGTACAATCGACGAGAACAAGTGTCTCAATTGGTCAACGCGTGATCGCTTTATCAAATTATGTGCGCCAAGGGTACGGAAGATCGTGATGGCATCCGAAAAGACGCGATGCGAGTGTCTTGCGCCAGCTCCTACGGTCATGCCGATCTAATTTTTAAGTTCCTTCGTATAGCCGTCTAGGCACAACGCAGGTCGATCGTCAAGTTCTATCACGAGAGCGAGAGTATATAACGATCTTGGATGCCAATGGAGGTATCGCCTCATGGACGTCAAAAAGGAGGATCCAGCAATTTGGCAACACCGAATTCCCTCCGTTTAAACCTATGTTGAATAATCTATTATTGTCGGAGCACCTGGCCCCTCCAAGAATCGATACATTTCCATAGGTTTCAATGGAGAAAAACAATGTTGTCAACTCGGTGGATCCGCCAATGGTCTCACTAGATCAACGAAGAATCTTTTTTTGCATCTTAAGGTGATTCGATGAACGCCATATTTTGTGTCAGAACGGCATGCGATATATCGCATCAATTGGTTCCATTTTTTCAGCTACTCGTCATTTTTCTCCAATTTCTCAGCCTCGGCTCCTGCCGTCTGCACTGAAAAAAAAACTCCGGCCGTGGGAGCCGCAATTACGGGCTATATAGACATACCGTCCGTTCCGGGCTCAAAGGCCGAAAATTCCTGCTGCTGGAGGCGTAGCTACGATTGCTCCGGGTTCAGAGGCCGAAGCTACGGCTCCAGCAGCCGGAATTTTCGGCCTTTGAGCCCGGAACGGACGGTATGTCTATCTACCCCGTAATTGCGGCTCCCACGGCCGGAGTCTTTTTTATAGTGTGGCCGTTTAACTCTGGAGCACCCTGTATAAGTACTCTATTTATTTATACTGTACCCAGACTCAAGTCGAGTTCATGGTTGTATTAGACAGCAACGCATTAAACAATTCACGACATCTCTTCCAACTGGCGAAGCTCGAATCATTGACTATCGATATATTCCCATCCGAGGCCACGGTCAAGAACTCAAGAATCGAGTATTGCGGTGTTTGACTCTTCGTTCCGAGCACTTCGATAATAATCGATCCTTTTCCAGAGGTTCAAATGAGAGATGAATCGATTGATCGCAAAGGACACTACGCCGCTGATCTCTCCGCGTCTCGGTCATCGAGCGCCTGAAAGCTCTCAAGCATGCTCTGATACTTCCGGCGTCTATGTTTGGTGCATGGTGCAGTCTATTGTGTTATCCCTGCATCGGAGCGCTATCGCATTCGCACCACCGCACCACGTATGCACCAGACAATCGGAAGGAGCCGATTCCCCCGCCGGTGCAAGATGATCGAGTTAGGGAAATTCTGAATTCAGCCAGAATAGAATTAAATATCCGTCTTCGCTCTGTAGTATCGCGCCAAGAGGGAAAACTCCGGCAAATCTAATAGCCCCGACTTTGAGGGGTTTCAATACCGATGTGTATTTCCATGGCAAACTTTCGGAGCGATCGAAGAATGCTGAGTTGTGAAAATGCGGAATTTCTGTTCGTCTTCAAATTTTTTACGCAGGAACTACGAGTATGTCTTCTACTTTGTAAGTTTCTGATTTGTCTGAAAGTTTCTTATTTTAATCGCATGAGGTCTTGATTATTTCGTGCGGCTGCTCTTGCGAGGAAATGAAACGAAAGAGGCGAAATTTATTGCGTGACAATTTCGTGGTTTTCTCGGTTTCATAAGCATAAATGTTGTTTAGCAACCATTTATCTAGGTCGTATTTCTCTTTTTCTTTTGGTACAATTTGGTAGAAACCACCGTGCAAATTCCTTATATTCGAAGTAGCATAGATTCCAAGAAGTAACTATTACATGGTAAAAATATTGCAATGCCACTGAGAGTTGTGTATGTTGCCCAGCTCCTATTTGAAGGGGCTCCATTTATTGAAACTTCTTGCAATAAAATTGAAATAAGTTGCATTTTTCATCGCATTGCATACTGCCTATCTCTCTGAAACGTGGAGCTCATTTTGTTAATTATTTAAAATCGGCTTAAATCCACTAAATGAAGTAAAAATTTAGCATTTTAATGGTAAAAAAGTTTCAATTTTCTTGGAATCAAATTTCTGTTTAATTTCAATATTTTCGTTTCACTGTGCTACTTGGGCACTTTCCAGTAGGAATGACCTAAGTTTTCTTAAAATAGCAATCCCAACGACTAAGTTACAGGTTTCAGTCATCAGCATCGCCAAAACTTTTGCCTAATAAAGGGGAGGGGGAATCACGGGGGGTGTCAGGAGAAGAGGAAGCCTTTCTTTTCACTATCTGCCATCTTGACTGCTCTTCAAAACTTCAATTTTTGTATTGAAATATGTAAAAAAACGAACCTTGGAATACGGCTCAAATAAGTAAATATTTCTGCAAAACTCTGAGTACTACTGGGTCCGTCCAAACGTTCACCTTACAGTGTGAATTTTTGATCATACCATACCTAAACTCGTAGTTTCCCTCACGAAAGAGGGAATCTAAATTTCGATGTTGCCAAATTTCCTCTCATAAATTGCATTTTTTCCAAGTGAATTTCGAGCATTTATAAGTAAGTAAGCCCTGGTAAAAATCGGCAGTAGAATCTGTGTTCCAAAATACCATAGACCTACAGCCGGCTGTAAGATTTCCAATAGCTTCTATAGCCGGCTACACAATTTCTTATAGCCTTTTATAGCCGATGGCGATTAAGCAACAACAGCCAGGCGATAAAGTGTATGCTAAACGTTATTACTTACAGATGCTAGGACTTAGTTAGTTTTTGGAATACTGCTCTCTTTTTGGGCCGTAGTATCTTGATTTATTTTGCTAGGAAAGCTCCGTACTTTTGATGGATGCCTGCTATTACTAATATATTAGAGCGCCTTCAGTTTCGTATGATACTGTGCAATACCTCTGGTGTGAAATAGTTGCTTCAAGCGCCGCCGTGGCAGGCGGGCAGCCAGCGCGAAACACGCATTGGCGCCTACAAACCTAACAGGAATACTTCACGCGTTGCGCAATGCGTGAAGTATCCCTGTTAGGTTTGTAGGCGCCAGAGCGTCGCCGCTCCGCTTTGTGTTAGGCTCTAGTGTTTGATCTGTCGGAGTCAGCGTTATACAACTCATGATTTTGAAAGGTTTGCACATCCTGTATGGATTATTCTCATTTAATTGATGAAAAAAAATATGTATTAAAGGAAAATATAATGTGTGTTTTGTAAATATTAAGGTGGTTCCGTATCAAACTTAATGATTTCCAAAGCACACGAATTTCTACACAATTTCTTATAGCCTTTTATAATCGATGGCGAAAAAGCAACAGCCAGAGGATAAAGTGTAAAGCCCGGGGATAGGCACTATAGCCCGGCTGCGTAATTTTTTATCGCTTCGTATTGCCCGGCCGTATGATTTTCTCCGCATTCTACAGCCAGCTAGATGATTTTCTGTAGCCTTCTTTAGCCGGCTATAAGAATTCCTATGGTATTTTGAAACGCAGCTCTTATCGCCAATTTTTACCAGGGAGAATTTATCGGATTTTTCCTTTGATCTCATGCAAAAATCAGACAAATTTGGACGGAAATTGCACAGACTTATTCAATTAATTTTCCTTAGTAAACTGCAACCTTGGAATGAAGTAATGTTCCTCCGAGAAATGACGAACTGTCATCTTTCCTTTTCGCAAAACATATAACGCACGGACAACTTTGATTTCATTTTATTTTTTTCCCATCCATAAAAATAAATTAGAATAAGTGAGTTTGGTCTCACCTCATCGATGGCCGTGAGCAGTTCTTCCGCGATCTGCAGGTAGTATTCACCTTTCGAAATGTCTCCAGCCATAAAGAACCAGTTGCTCAGGTAGTGGGCGTTGAGCTGTAGGAATGCGTTCAGATCTACCGGAATGATGGAGCGGGTTTTCAGGTACAGCAATGATTCTGAAATAGAACGGAGACTTGTGACCTGACGGTATGAAGAGTTTCCATGCGTTGGAGCACATGTCTTAAACTTAAAAGCCTTCGTGTGTGAATGTCATGGCATGAACACATGGTGTTCCCGCTTTTGGACATCGGAGAAATTGCGGATCCACTAAAGCAATGAAGCATTTAGGGAAATGTAAACTGTAGAGATTCGATGAGCTTCACAGATTTTAATCCAGCGTACTATCACACCATTAATTTTTTACTTTTATCATATTGAATAAGATTCATTTTTCCAGCGAATCAGAATCCCTACAGAAATGCAGCAAGAAAAGGAGGAACGCAAAATTGCTGCTGGTGTCGGTAGAAGATATTTTGTTTTTTCCTTTACCATGGACAGCAGATGACCAAAAGCAGGAAGCAGAACTATAAACAAGGCATAAAAGCGCAAAAATATATGATCAATTATTTGCTCAAAATGACCCTCGCGTCACATCCGGTGCCCGAGGTTGGGTTCCCCCGCACTTTAACAGTTATGCAATGCGAGTTACAGGAGAGTTAATATTGCATCAAAAAGGTGAGAGTACTTCGAAGAAAGTTCTGATCCGCTCACCAGTGTCAATATGACACATTATATTTCGTCAGAATTTACCTGTTTGTCCAGGAGGAGTTTTTGTCCATCTCTGAGAGAAGTCCCATCCTGTCTCCGCCGCTGTTTTCAGTTCTATGTACAAGTTTGTCCTCTCCTCATCAGAGGTCAGGTTTGACGCCAGGGTGAAATCCTCCCTAAAAAGTTAGTCGTTCGTAAAGTTATTTTCTCTAGAATTGAGCGAAGTTTCACATTTCCCCCTTTTAATTTCTTTTTTTTATAAGAAAAAATTTTAACTACTTGGTTATGGAAAATGGTGCGACGGATTTTTGCAAACCTGAGTAGAGCACTTCATCATTCTTCTAATTCACGGTTCAAAGGGATGATGCAGTTTGAGCAGTTCTATTGTTTCAACTTAATTTCGTAAAATATCGTGATGGAATCATGTTTCAAGTTTTCTGGGGTTCCTCTCATTTCCTCTCGTCATGATAGCACTAAATATTTGATAAAAAACTTAAAACTAATACACTGTTGTATTGAATCATCGCGTATCAATAAATAAGTATCATTAATCCAGTATTTGGTCGAATACAGACTGCTGTCTTAAAAGGAAATTCCAGTTGTTGACTGCTTGGAAATCTTTATCAAGATATTTGTACAGTTACATAAATATTTGAAATTATTCAGCAACTGTCCAACTTGACAGGAACGAAAGGTTTTTTTTGGATCGATTGATATAGCTTTGGGTTAGAATTGAACGAGCACATTTCAGAAAATTCTCACTGGAAGTATATACGTTGAAACACAAATCTCGTACCTTTCACTTCTGGAAGGCTTTTTAAATATACTTGAATATTTAAACGACAAAAACTACCATTTGCAAAATTACCAAAGATTTTAGATCTCGTTTTTGCCAAATACATTTCACAAAAAAACGGGGCAATATTTTCATTGAAAGGTTAAACCTACTTGAATGATTCCGGCCTGGGTCCGCACGTTTCGACACTGTAATGCGCCATTCGATACGTTTTCCCGTCCTTTTTCACGTTTATCATGCGGTTGTTCATCCAAAATTGGAACTCCAACTCCAGAACCTGTTGAGCAAAAAAGTATGATAAGTCTTTCATTTTATGGTGCCCTGAGTAATTTGATCACATACTACTTCGGATGATGTCTTCGTATCTGATGTTCTTCTCTCATTTTTTTACCTTTTCTCTTGTGCAGTGGGAAGCCGCACTCCGTGGAGAAAAATTAGCTTACAATTAGTCGTGCCTATGTACTAGAGCTGGTGATAGACGCACTGGAAAAAAAACACATTGGATCTAGAGTCCAGACTCTTGAAAACATCGACAAGAAAAAATACTCTTGATTCAATCGGATTTTTGCTTAAATCGAGAACCAAGCCTCTTAATTTGAGCGGATTTCCTTTTGATGTAAGCAAAAATCTGATTGAATCAAGAGTATTTTTTCTTGTCAATGTTTTCAAGAGTCTGGACTCTAGATCCAATGTGTTTTTTTTTTTCTAGTGCGGGAGAGAGAGTAAAACATGTATAGAAGCAACTCGATTAGTCATAAAAATCACCAGGAAGCTTGGATATTAAACTTTAAAAACCTTAGTGAATTGTGCTAAAATCTAGCATCGCTCTGTACCAGATGCTTTAAAAACTTACTCTGAGACCTCAGCTATGACATTAACTTCAGGGAAATTTCCTTCAATGTTCAATCTTTCGAACAGACTTTTTAATGTCATTTCGGGATCACCTCAGCCACAAGGAAAATATCCATCTTTTAAACGGATTCGTGGCTAGGAGACATCTTTGTAGTATAAACGAAGCATCGAAAGCTCTTTGTCATTTTTGATCCTCGCAGTAAAGCACGCTGCGCCGCGCCGCGCCACGGGTGAAGCGATGAACGCCTAAAGAGTCAAAACGCCTTCATTTCCGTGCGTATGCAACATGGACATCCATAGAGCCCGAATAGTTGCATCCAGGCGTTAAAATGAAATCTGTACAGTGTTCGTCGCATTCGACACTACCTGAGGGCGGTGTTTCTCTTACACCGTAACTTAAGGTGATCCGACGGTTGCCATTTTTTGTGTCCGAGCGACGTGCGACAAATCGCATCAATTCTTTCCATAATTTCAGCTACATGCCATGTTTTTCCGAATTTTGAGATCGGTTTTCTGCTGCCATGAGACTAAAGGATTCATGTACCTTTGACGAAGAAATTCAACGTAATAAAGGCAGGGGTTTTTTTAGAGGAAAAATATCCCATTCGCTACTGACATCGAACCTGCACCCGCATGCGATATTTTCCCCCTAAAATAAAAAAACCCTGCCTTTATTACGTTGAATTTCTTTGTGAAATTCGGTACGTGAATTTTTTAGTTTCATGGCATCAGGAAACTAATCTCAAAATTCGGAAAAAATGACGAGTAGCTGAATTTATGGAACGAATTGATGCGATGCACCTATCTTATGTCGCTCTGACACAAACAATGGCAACCGTCGAATCAACTTAATTCCAGCGTTGCCTATTGTGCGATGAAGTAAACTATTAATGATACGGAAGTATTTCAATTGGACGTATTTCTGTCAAACGGAACTAAGCGCCAATTTGAGTTCCTTTTGAGGAATTTAGAATCCCGGATAGCGCGTTCTGTCAAACGGAACTAAGCGCCATGGAAAAGCATTGCGAGTATAGGACGGAAAGAGCCGGACGCCCGATTCCGCCGCCAATCCAAGCCCCCCTCTAACTTCCTCCCCCTATGGCACTTAGTTCCGTTTGATAGAAATACGTCCAATTATTTTTAAACTTATCCGGATTATTGACACTTTGCACGCACCGGGAGATTTTCGAGAAGCCAGGCCTCGTCCTGTTTGAGCTGATAGTAGGCGGCCACCATCGGGATGAGCAGCGGTGGTTGGGACCGGTTCTCGTAGTAGTTCCTGCTCCCGTTCAGCATGTAGCCGTACTTTTTGACTAGATATATGATATTGTCTATCACACCTTTCGCTGTATCGAACATGTCACACAGCAGCAAGCCTTTCACGATCCAGTAGGTGTCCCAGTAATATACTTCGGTGAAACGACCTGTTACAGAGAGAGAATTTCTTTAACGTTCATTCACTGTTAAAAATTTTGGAGTGAAATCCTGTGCCGCACAATGGAAAGAGTCATTGAGGTAGGTCTGACAAAATTTGGAAACTTTAAAAGCTCATAACTCAATTATTACGAAACTTCGAGGTCTTGAAAGTGGTCCCATTGGTTTCCTCAAAAAATTTACATTTTAAAGCACCCCTTGAATTTCAAAATATGAACACTGAAAAAAAAACTCCAGTCGTGGGAGCCGCAATTACCGGCTATATAGACATACCGTCCGTTCCGGGCTCAAAAATCGAAAATTCCGGCTGCTGGAGCCGTAGCTTCGGCCTCTGAACCCGGAGCAATGGAAGCTACGCCTCCAGCAGCCGGAATTTTCGGCCTTTGAGCCCGGAACGGACGGTATGTCTATATAACCCGTAAATGCGGCTCCCACGGCCGGAGTTTTTTTTTTTTCAGTGAAGCATGGTGAACATCTAAATTTGCAGATTTAATAAAAAAAATTCAGTGCCGCCGTCTATATAGCGCCCAAAACCCCTGAGAGATATGGATGTGAAGCGGAATCTACTATTTTTGCAGAGTTTTGTATGGGTTTATGGTGCTAATTTAATCTCCGGCACCGAATTTCACCCCTCGATTTGCAACAACAATCGCACATTTTGAATCACGCAAGAAGAATTCATGAAAAACACTTATGGTGAAATGAAATTATCAAAGCTTTTGTCCTTGATTTTGACATTTAGGTCTCGCCTAGGCTTTAGCAATTACCAGATAATTCGCAAAGTAACTAAATACACGGACATTTTTCACTGTGTAGCTCCTCAATTAAAATTGCTGAATCGAACGACGCACAATGGGACGAGTCAATGTGAGAGGTCGGACAAATTTGGAAACTTTAAACGCTTATGACTCCATTTATAGACAACCTCGAGGTTCTAAAAGTGGTTCCATTGGTTTCCTCGTGAAATTTTCGTATAGGATCACTCTTTGATATTAAAAATATGACGAAATAAACATCGAAATTTGCAGTTTTAGTCAAAACTTTCATGTCCGACCTCTCTAACTGACTCGATCCACTATGCGTCGCCCAGAGGGAATTTCGTTCTGTGGTAATGAATGTAAGCAGTAAGTCAACAACTTCGACCAAATCCACTCGCGAGACTTTGCCGAATATAACGATGAGCATGGACATTTTGAACTGTTTAACGTAGGTAACTCCTCAATTAAAATGGAGATGTTGCATGTGTGAGGAATTTGCTATTTGACTGTTGATTCTAATGTAAAAGTTTGCAAGAAACACGATGGTGCTACTGGTTTCTTCTGAAGTCAACTCCCAAACTCAAAAAAAGCTCTCAAGTTGAGGCCAAAAGGGAGGGGATATCCCACCCTACCCTGAGAGTCCATCTCTACATGAAGACAAACTCTCCATGCAAAGATAGGGAGCAAATACATTAGCAGGGTTGCCTTGATTTCAATTTTAGAGTCCCCAAATAAGGTGGCAGCCCTGTCAATATATTTGCTCCCTATCTGTGCATGGAGAGTTTGTCTTGATGTAGAGGTGGACTCTCAGGGTAGGGTGGGATATCCCTTCCATTTTGGCCTCAACTTGAGAGCTTTTTTTGAGCTTGGGAGTTGATTTCAGAGAAAACCAGTGGCACCATCGTGTTTCTCGCGAACTTTTACATTAGAATCAACAGTCAAATCGCAAATTCCTTACACATGCAACATCTCCATTACTAAACTGAAGGGCGTGGGATTACCTCCAGGTATGATGACGGTGTTGGGGACGTAGAGGAGGGAGTGCATGCGCGGGTTCTCGAGGACATCGCGGTCGACGACGCGGGCGAGGGTCTTCCAGACCTCGTTGAGCTTGGCCGCGAAGCGTCGGTACTGTCCGTCCTGGATGTAGCCGAGCACCGAGGGCTCCGAAGTGAAGTCCGGCGGCTCGAACGGGATCAGCTCGTTCCCGTCGGCGAAGTTCTCCGCGAGGAAGCTCTCCAGTTCCGCCCGCGAGAGCTCGCCGCCGCGGGACTTCTTCAGGGCCGTGTACTTGCGCACGATCTCCTCCTCCGGGAACAGGAGCCGCTTGTCCACGAACGTCTTCGAGTCATTGAAGAGGCCCGAGAACTGGTAGTCGTACAGGAGGGGACCCTGACAGTAGACGTAACTGTAACAAAGCAGGAAATTCCTATAGTTAGTCAAGGGTTTGAGCAAAGTAGGTACATAAAAACCAAAACGGATGCCAGATGATAGGCTGCCTAAGAAGGTTCTAGATTGGGTCCCTCCCTGGCAGAAAACGTAGAGGACGCCCTGCGAAATCGTGGATTGAGGGAAATTCCTATCGTTAGTCAAGGATTTGAGCAAAGTAGGTACATAAAAAACAAAACGAATGCCAGATGATAGGCTGCCTAAGAAAGGTTCTGGATTGGGTCTCCCCCTGGCAGAAAACGTAGAGGACGCCCTACCAAATCGTGGATTGAGGGAATAAGGCAGGAAATGAAGAGATGCGATCTGCCAGAGGAGCTCTGGCAGGATCGCTATCAGTGGCGGTTGGGTGTCGCAAAGCGCACAGAAGCGCTAAAATAGTGACTTAATAGTATTGTTGCGTGGATCTTCTTCGTTATGCCACTTATCCACGAACACAATAACACAAATATCCGTGGATCCACGACACAGTGCGATGAGTCAAGTGTCCACTTTTTGAAACCAAAAAAATTTCGAGGGTAAAAGTAAAAAATATAAGTTCGGAAAAATTTCGCCAGGGGATTTTTCGAAATTTAATATTTTTTTATATCTGAGGCACCAGAGAGTTATTCAGAGATAAAAGTACGGTGTCCCCCAAAAAAGCTACTTTAAGCGGTTGAATAGCACCTAAGAAATATTATCTTTTGCAAAAATCCAATCAGAAAACTTCGCACTCGTGTAGACTGGAGTTGCATTTTAACGAACGGTAACGAAGAGGATTTTTCCCTTGAGTGATTTCCAAGAGTAACGAGAGGTTTTAATCGAACTTCTCCTGACGTCATAGAAAGCGGAAGAGCCAAAATGAAGCGGTAAAATAACAGCAGCTTCTCTTCTCCGGGTTTGTGTTTATAAATTTTATCAGGTGATTGTCTCGCCGAGTATACTTTACGCTGGATGATGCTTTGACCGAGTTTTAAGAAAAAGTGTGTTTATAAAATTGTGAACTGAGTTGTTTGTCATTACTGAACGAGAAATTAAAACAGCTGTCGACATTGACCCTGTTTCCTAAATTTTGAAACTGTAACAACAAATTTTTCATCTTCTGTGAATGTGACATTTAGAGTCGACGATTGTCAAAAGGACCAAGATCTTTCAGTCGAATTCAAAATTAGGAAAAGTGAAATTGAAAAGCCTAAATCGCAATTTCGTAGAATTATTTGATTTTTGAAATCTTCATATTTTTTAAAAAATATTTTCACATTTCAGCGTCAAAAATGTCAAAATGAGAGCATTTAAATGTCTACAAGAAACAGGAGCACGACAAAAACTTCCTTAGAAGTTTTCCGGAATCAATGCTGCAGGACATGATGAGTATTTCAATGTGACCTCAGCCAGTGTTTAATAATTTGAATTTCATTAGAATCCAAAAATCTATAACATTTAATAGTATTTCAAGACTCTTAAACTTTAAGTATCCATGGTCCAATTTCAGATCCATTCAGCGAAAATTCAGTACGTTGAAATTTTTAAACTTTACTCATCATTCGTTCCGGACAATCCACGATAGTTAAATTTCTATAGGAGCCGTCAATACCTCTCTGAGCAAAACAACCGTCAGGAGGCAGAATTAAGTATAGAAACTTCAATTTGAACTTGCGTATTTCTGGACCTGATGCGAGTATGACTAAAGTCGAAGGGTCGCGACTTCAGATACTTCTTTTCCAACTTGATTGGATGATGATGAATTTCGAGGAATAAACTCACTCAGAGAGTCTCAGATTATTTTAAAGAAAAATGTAGTTTGCGTATTAATAAAATGTCACAGTCATGAGATAGTTTTTTAACACGGATCTTACCTGCTCATGATTTAATCAGTAAACACAACCTCTGTTCTTGACCAACTGACGAAAGAGGAAAAGATAGAGAAGAATGAGCACCAGCATCACTGGAAGCTGGAGCCGTCCATACCTCTCTGGGCAAAAAAAAACCGTCAGGAGGCAGAATTAAGTTTAGAAACTTCAATTCGAACTTGCTTATTTCTGGACCTGATACGAGTATGACTAAAGTCAAAGGGTCGCGAGCGCCCCGAGAGCTTTTGAAGAGCCCCAACTGGGTAATTGATTCCTTTTCACGTTCGGTCGTAACAAGACACCTTTTGAACTGCGATCGATTTGACGCTTTGTCGGCCAACATGAATACGCGCTCAAAGTTGCAATTTAAAGTTCTAGAGACCCGCTTCTGACCTTTGACTGTCAAAATGTGGACGCCGGGCGAAGGATTAGCAGCGCAACGTGTAGTGGAAATGTGGGAACGCGTGTAGACTTAACTCATTGGTAATCAGCGTCCGTTTGAAGTTCTCACAAAAGGTCGTGAAAGTTGCGTCAGTGACGCAATCAACTGTACCTCTTCGGACTTTTTTCGACCCGAAAATGATTGCTGAAGACTTCGACGAGTTATCTCGATTGAAGGTTGGGTTGTATATATTTCGATGAAAAACAGACGTGTATGATGCACACAGAAATTACATTCACAGACGTGTGCGGTCTCTCGGCCGGATTCTTTTCCCCAAATTATAGGAATAAAGAAGACGTCATCAATAACATACACAATATCACGTTAACGGTGACGTCATTATTTAAGGGCAGTAACTTCGATCATTTAGTGCATCTTTCTAAATAAGAAACGCACCAATTCAGTGACCAATGAGCCAATTGCTGTGTTTATTCTATTCAGAGAGACTTCTTTTCTTTTGTTTCGTAAGAATACGTTTTTTTTTTTTTTATTAAACGAAATTACGAACTGACAGTATACAATGAAACGGAACCAAGTTACACTGTCAACATAATTGACTCACGTAACATGGTTTTTACTGTCCAGACTTAAAAGCCCGCAAAGAAGATTTAGTGTGCAAACATTTGAATTCGTGCATGTTTCTTTTACTTTGAGGCTCAAGAAAGTTCCAACTTATATTCGTCCGCTTCAAGTCAAAGTCACTGACTTTTGATCTCCTATCACTGAACGCCGCACAACGGGTCGAGTAAATGGGGGAGGTCGGACAAAATTTGGAAACTTTAAAAGCTCATAACTCCGTCTATATAAAACTTTGAGGTTTTATATGGTTTCCATTGATTTCCTCGTAAAATTTTCATCTGATTTCACCCCTTAAAATTTAAATTGTAACAAACTAAAAATCAAAATCTGCAGTTTTAGTTGGAAATTTCATGTCCGACTTCTCTGATTGACTAGATCCTCTGTGAGAGTAGAACAATGTTCAAAGTCAATACAATGATCAGAGAACCTCCAACGGAAGTCTATTTTATCTTGGAAGGGTCTCTCTGTATCGAAGTTCGTGTGAAAGGCGTAATTGTTAGAAGTAGGAATTAGCCCTCGGCTACGTTTAAAGTTAGGAAAAAGACCTGAAACATTCATACAACGGACAGTGATAAGCTGTTACCTCGAATTTCCCCTCCAAAAATATATCAATACTGAAAATTTTTTTAATGAGGATGCAGGGAAAAAAGGGTGTTTGCATCCTTTAGCATGCTCATAGGGTGATTTGAAAAACACTGTGCAACTCACAAAGTTTAATCCTTCAGAAAACTCCAAAGGCAAACTCATAATGGTTTGTGCTGATAAGAGTATTCTCGATTTAAAACTTCGTCACGAAATTTCTCTTTTCAATAGATCCTCGTGCCAAATGCAGACCTCCACCTCTGGCTATTTTTAATTAAATATTTGTATACAATAGTCTTTCTCCACTCTTCTTTGGTGGCCTTTGGCTGATTGGGAACTCTGAAGCTATCAAAATGGCAGCTTTCTTCCTTTTTCTCTACGAAATCCATACGTTTCCCTTCTTAATAGCGCATCTCGTCAACATAAGCGACGAACTGCTGGACTGCTGGAAATGACAATAGTTCTAACAAGCTGTACAAAAACTTTAAAATCATAAGTTGAACACCGCTGCGCTGATGTCGCAAGTTTGAATAATCGCGTCAAACACAGTGCGGCCGGCGCGGGGCTGGCGACTGGCACGCACGACACGTATAGTAGCGCCTTACAAGACCGCGGGATACTTCATGCATTGCGCGTTCAGCACGGTGCGCGCCACGCATGATATAGCGCCTTACAAGTCTGCAGGATACTTCATGCATTGCGCGTATACCACGGTGCGGGCTCAAGTTGATCTAAAGTCGTATTTTCTTGGTGTCGAACCTACCTCGGTGTATACCATTTTCGAACAGTGCACAACTCTGCCGTGCTAAGGGAGAACGCCGTATGAACCTCTGGCTATTTTAAATTAAATATTTGTATACAATAGTCTTTCTGCACCCCTCATTAGTGGCCTTTGGCTGACTGGAAACTCTGAGGCTGTCAAAACGGCAGCTTTCTTCCTTTTTCTCTACGAAATCCATACGTTTCCCTTCTTAATAGCGCATCTCGGCAACATAAGCGACGAACTTTGTCTAGCCAGCGGTTTGACGGAGGTTGAAATGAGGTGAAATGCGTGATTTCGGAAGAAATTCAATGGTTTCAGGCGAAGAGAGACGCAATTCTTTCAATTTTATGATTCTTTGGGGTTACAGCCAGTTTTATCCTCCTTCCCAAAAAATTGATCTGTCTCAAACCTCAGCTCTAAATCCCTGTCTATAAGTCTCCGACGTCATAAGGCTGGCTCGATAGGCGAATTATTTTGTATCATGATAATTCGCATGCGTGCCTGAATATTTTTAAAAATTTGTCTCGTTAGGTTTGAGGTTTATCTTGAATATTTATACATAAAGCAATACAACGGAATCGACTGATACCATTTGTAAATGTGTTCTATGTAAGTTTGAAAAGTGCTTATGGATCTCAAAATGAAATTAAACGTTCAAACAAAGTTTTGAGCTTTAAATTCAGTTGTTGCTTTCTTATAATTATAAAAATATTCTAAAAGATCAAATGTAAATCATTTGAAACTGCTATCATTACTATCCCTTGGAA